ATTGCGCGCCTAAACCTTCTCCTCTTTTCCTCTTTTTTCTTCTCGTATTGTCCATTTGTCTGTTTGCGACGGACCCTAACGTAAGTCGGGGCGAAGGGAGCCGATCCGGGTCGGCCGGAGCGTATCCGCTCATCTGCCGGAGCCAACTCACGATCAGCTAGAGTCCTGCAAGGGGCGCTTCAGTCAAACTAGGACAATATGGAGGCGCTATTGAGCTCGAGGCCGACACTGGCTTGTTAGTCGGCGGTATATATCGGACAACGGTTTTATGCTGCTCTTACGGCATGAGGACATACGTAACACTCGAAGTAAAACGCCAGACGCGTACGGCAAGGACAGGCGGTTCAGACTGTTCTGTTTACAGCAGTTGAATTACAGCTGCCGCCAGAGTGACTTGAGAGAACGAAAAAAGTAGGTTAGCTTTGAAGCTTTGACTGTGGAATGGCTCACTTTCTGCCCGGGTAATGAGTGGTTTTTGGGTAGGAAAGCAACAATGGCAGTAAGAATAATGTATGAGAGGTAAGCGGCGTTTGGCCTTGGGGATGGATTACGTGCTGGCGATAAATGGGGTCACATCCGGCCACAAGCGACGGTTCGGCGCAGGGCCCTCTGCTTGTAAACGGAGTTAAGAGCTATTATATACCCGTAATAGAAAAGAACTGGGAAATAGACTCGAGATTTGCTTCTATGGAGTGGGAGAAATCGGACCAGAATACAGCAGGCTTTCACAAGGAGGCATAAACGTTGCCCGCTAATGTTGCCCCGTACAGCAGCTCGCCTGCGTCTATACGTTAATTGCTGCCGGAAACTTTACTCAAACAATAGCAGTAATAGTAGTAGCAATCTGCAGGTGGCATTTCCTTCGTGTGTGCGGCCTTTGGCTTGTGGATCAATTGGTGGCCAGCAAGCGAGATCGGAAGGAGGCGAGCAACAGGAATAAAAACCGCAAAGGGCAGCATCGTTTAGTATTTTTCTATCGGACCTAAAAGGGAGTAGGAAAGGTGCGGTCAACCTTAAAGACCGCTCATCACAGGGACGACACGAGGTTTAGATGTGGTGAGGGAGAAAATGCGCCACTCATTTCTGATATAAATTAGTTGGACACGTAATATGAAGAAGCCACCTTTGCCGGCAAACTCTGTCCACGACTGTCGACTAGTGAGCCAGACGGCGTCCTGCCGTTACCGTTCCTGAACAATGGCCTTAGAAAGCTTTGTAGGTTGCATCGCAACCGTTGTCTTTTTCCGGAGCGGAACGACGACTACTCCATTATGCAAACGTGGGCTTTAGCAATGTCGTACATGATTTTTTCGTTGACGCCACGTCGGACTTAATTTGCATTTGTGAAAATGCCGCAGGTGTGCGACTGCGTAAAGCTTTGAAATGATTGTATGCGTGACTGCCAGTGACATGAAAGCTGATGGTACGGTTAACAGCTGAAATCTAGTGCATAATAAGGGTAGATTTTTTGGTATGGCAGTTCTATAAAGTAGAAGCGGACAATAACTTGATATACTCTATCCAATCGTGTTCTGATGGTCTGGTCATGTAACTTCTACGTGTTTTACACATTTACATAGCCATGTTAAAGCGACCCAATTTCGGTACCATGGTACAATCTAAACGAGCACGTGACAGACACTGCGGGCAGCAGCTAACATACAACTAAAACGCGTTTAATGTTAACAGAGAAAATGAACCGCAAAAGTGAATGAGAATGGTCAATGAAATCGCTATCGGAAGCATCAGTTTTGACCGGGCTGTTTTTCCAAAAGCAACAAACATTCGAGTTCAACACAAATGAAGTAGATGTTGCTAGATGAACTGACGCTTAGCATGCTATCAAGATGATCAAATTTTCTTCACAAAGATTATGAAAATGGCAGAGCTCCCCCCCGCGCCCCCGTCTATAGCCACGTTTCTGCTACAACATTAGATTCCTATGCTGAAATAATCAATGGGGTAAATAATAACATGCCAAAGACTGATGAGACTAGCTTTGCAAGACATATCAGGCGAGGGGCACACATTATTTGATACTGCCGTCCTAAAAAAGAACAAGTCAGAGCCCAAGCCATATAAGCAAGATCTCCAGACGTAACGTCCTGGTACGCTAGCGCACAAGCTCTGCTTTGTATTGTCGCCATCAGGGGTCGAAGTGAAACGCCAAATAGCCAGGGCAAAGAAAACTGTGCTCTGCCAGCGTCGTTACAGATACAACATTTTGTGGGCGTTGCCTAATAGTTTAGCAGTAGTCACTAACTGACGAAATTACAGTACCCCATCTCATTCAAAACATTTTGAAAGCAACCAAATGCACAGAATACTCTTTTCCTGTAGTCGATAGTTTCCCCTTGTACAACACAAAGCTTTTTGCTTGCTCAGTATACCCAACAAAGCAGAAAACAGTTATAGTATGTCTGATGTACAGCGCATGTCTGCCGTGACCTTGGCGGTTGCAGACTCGGTGCTAGTTGGGCTATCATTGTGGATTTACTTCTTCCGCTGGCAGACTTGGCGGCCACAGATATAATCCGAAACTAGAACGTAAGTCTGGCCTTGCCGTTGCGGACAATCAAACGGTTTGCTTTGTACTCGCAGGGCTATGTTAGTAGCAAGAATGTGGGTAACTGTGGAATTGTTGGGCACAACGTTCTTACACTTTATCGCTAGGGTCGCCCCATTTAAGTAGGCATCCGGCGACTTATGTCCCCATGAAATACAATTGCCAAAGGCGATCAACTAAAAAGAGTTCTGCCACCTTCTACATGTGACTTTGACAAGATTTGGTCATCTTGGTACCGCTTTAGGTCTAGATTGTCTTGCAATGCCCACCTCACTTGCTCAGGCTATTTGAACGTTTGCTCCTTTTGGAGAACAGTTCGAGTAGGACTGATGCGTCGAAAAGCAATCATACAGTTTTGCCACAGATGCCATTTAAGGATCTAACTATACAACAGTTAACCATTGCAAATGCTTCCGAGATTGGACCGTCGTCCTACCAGCCGGCCGTTTCCGCTTTTGGCGAGTCGCTCAAGTCCTGCAACTCATTTGTTAGGTTTCCTTTCTTTAAACGCAAACGGGAGTGAATTAGCATCGGCAAAGGCTTTGGCCCACCTCGTAGCCATTACAGCCTTGTCGTCTGACGTCTCATCACCGCTACGAAGATGAAGTGGCCAGTTTTTATTAGCTAGCAACGATGGACGCTTAATAGCCATTTGCCCAAGCCGTATAAAATCGTTGCCGATTCGATTTATTCTGACAAAATCGTTCTACCCTATATCGTATCTATGGGCATATATACCCACTGGGAATTGTTCGTTAAGCTCGTATAAACTGAAAACGTCATTGACGCAAATAGCTCATACCCTATAACAGGGGTGACGATTTGTGCAGCAATAAACATTTCCGTCATCAACTGAAGTGCTGTGGACGCAAAAGCCAACGCGAGGTTCGGCAATGATGCGGCCAATTCTACCATTAGCAGATGGCTAATGTTCCTGGCCCATCAACAATACTGCAGCCATAAAGAATTATTTAACAACCAGCATTATCATTAGACACAATGAAGATTATATGAAGAACTGCTGATTTCACTGAAATGGTTGATTAAATTCGTCCAGTTAGAGTTAAAGGGCGATTCATTTCGTCTTGTTTGTTGAAGTTGTAAACTGTAAGTTACTGTAAACTCGTCATGCTAATAGGGTAGATTCTCTTATATGAGCCGCTATTCAGAGAATGTTCGTGTCGATGGCGAGTGAAGACAAAACTTATCCGACAATACATATTCGCTACAACTTCGAACGTAAGGCCGAAATTTGATGCATCACCTAGAGTTTGACGTAAGATATCCGACGAAATAGAAGACGTCAACATAGGGTAAATTCAAAAACCACTCACCAAAGGATTAGATCTTCGAAATTATTGATCGTATTGCTTAGCTGATATTTGCTGGAGATATAATTATGGTATGTGTAGACGTCAACTCACAGGACTATGAAGGGCACAAACTACAAACATAAAATTAAAGACAGCTCTTTGTCCTATAATAAAAAAAAAAAAATGAATCTATCATCTGAGTCTGAGCAGACGCGCCTTTAAAGTTCGAAACTAACATTCTCGATCCTCAGGACCTATATTTAGATATCGTCTACTAGTACTATTATACTACTACGCAGTGCAATTTAACAGTAAACATAGTGACCATACGATACGAGAGGAAAAAGAACCAGCTAAACGAATCCATATCTTAAGTTGCTAAGAAAATTAGATTATACTAAGGCCGATGAAGCTTCTTAACGGCGTTTTTGGGCTGAGATTTTGACAGGACACGCTTAGAGCGTATGAGAATTTAACCTATAGCTATTCGAACGTTTCTGTTGCGTAAAAGAGCGTAGAAGGTTTTCCTTTCTATTGAGCTCATGGTTGGCCCCCAGTTGGCATTAAAGTTGCATTTGCCTTAGACTTTTTGTCTGTGGTGGATCAAAATTGCTGCAGATGATGAGCATCAACTGTACCAATACAAAATAAATTTAAAAAAAAAAAAGAAGATTATCTCTACCCAGAAGAAAAAATTGTTTATAGTTTGTTTTCGAAAACCGAACGCAATTATAGTTCATAATTGTTTACTTATAACTATTATTTAATCGTAAAAGCTCATAATGAGAAAAAAACGTGACGAGAGTCTTAAGGGGGAGCCAATATGGTACTATTCACTTTTCCAAGGTCAGGGCGAGAGATCCCAAGAGATCATTTTAAAAGCTAGCGAGCGTACCAGTTGGTCCCCCAAATAAATCAAAGCGTTCGTTTACTTTTGTTATACGTACGGAAGTTTAACTATATCGAAACGGTATTTTCGATAATACGTTTTGCGTCCGAAATTGGGCGCGTTCAACTTAGGTATGAATCGACTTTTGTGTATGTTTGTAAATATGACGCGGTGTCGACGAATATGTAGCCGGAGACATGATACTCAGTAGCTGATTTCACTTCTTTTTTAGAAGGTGTAGAAGAGCCGGCCGAGATGTAAGCCCCCGAAACTAGCCGTACCGGGCTGGCTGCGTTCGATTGAGACTTCTGGATGTAAGTATAGCCGCTCTTCCTCTAACAACGTATTTATAGATTGGGAGACTCAAACCTTCCACTGATAGGCTCATAATATCAAGCTGAAAATATAACGTACAGAAGGAAAAACTAATGGGAAATTATGGGATAGAGATGCACGCAGAGAGGCAGCAGCAGTGGCTGCAGTAGCAGTTTGCGGAGGTTGACTCCTATCCGAATCAGCGCTCGTTTAACTCTGACATGATTTCTAAAGCTAATGAATCTAGGAGTTAATGTTTTTCTCTAGGTCTTATTTGCTTTAAATTTCAATTTAAACACTTCATACATACCCGTAGTATGCGAACCCGGTAACGTTTACAGGTAGATTTTCTTTTTCTTGGCGGACTCTAAAACCAGGCTTCGAACTTGTAACTAAACGTTACCGGAAATCAATGAGTAGGCTAGTATTATGAAATACAAAGTAAATAATATAACACTGTTTTCTTCACTCGCTATTTTCCCAGTTGATTGAGGCGTGGTGTACGCAAAATTGTACAGTAATGAAGTCGTAGTTGAGATCTAGTGGACATCGTGAGGACCGCGGTAACAGGTCGCGGACCGCAAGGCAAGGACGGAGACGAGGTCGAAGGGTGTGAAGCGGCATGAAGCGTGAGGTGATGGACAAAATGAGAGAAAGAATGACTGCTTTATTCACGATAGAGCAGTTCGAGTTAGTACGAAGGCTTCGGGCTTCGGGTATGACGAAAGACCAGGTCGCTTTAGCGTTTGACAAGTTTGACCAACTGGAGTGGGACCTTCAGGTTGGTGGGGTTCGTATCAAAGGTCACAAGAAACAAAATCACTTGAAAGCGTTCTAAGTAGACTAAGTTTATCTATTTGTTATCTTCGGTGTTGCCATTTTATGTTGTGCTTTATGGTACACGTATACAATTTTTGTTAAATTTTATTTTCTCTCGCTTCGAAAGAAAGGGAAATATATATATAAGGCAGAAACATGCATGATTTCTTTTATGGTTTTATGTGTGCTTCATGAAAAGATCAACGAATAACAAACCACTTATCAAATCTTCAGAGCCTCTTGCGGAATTCCGGTGGAAGAGTAAACAGTGTGGCATCGAGCAGTCCACCTCAGGTTAATGGAGGTCGGACACCGCTTCACGTCAGGGATCAAGAAAGAAATACCTCCTCTGAAAAAGAACATTCTCACGCGCCCCATCACCATCCGAACGGTAGTCTACGTTTGCTACATATAGATATATATACATGCTTACAAACACGTATCCAAGCGCAACTATGGATTGATGCTATTATTAATTGAACAGATGCGTGATAGTAAAGACCCAAATGTTGTCGGCTGCTTGAAGCATATAACAAAATTACGTTCCGCCTTCTTCATGTGCAGGAAATGGAACAAATGGCGAACAAAACGGTCGACCAAAGTCATCTGCGCAAAGCGCTTGCAGTGTTTCCTCAAATGAGGATAGCTCGGCAACGGAAGGCCGCGAGCAGATGACGCCCCCCTTGCAATTGACGCTAGCGCCTCCGCACAAATCGCCCCCACCTCATCGGGCCTCAACGGATAGTAGCACGTCATTGCTACCCCCGGTATTAACGCCGTCCGAAACTGATCGGGAAAACCTCCAGGCGGCAGCCGCTTTGATGGCCTCGTGGCCTCTTATGGCACCGACACCCAGTCACGGACCGCCCCTAACACCTAATGGTAACGGTTCCACACCCAATGGCCACCTCGGCGTTGTCCCGCTTCAAGCACCAATGTCACGCGCCGCAAGCTTAAGCGTCTCTGGTGAAAGTACTGGTACTATGGCCCCTTATTTGCCCGAAGACTATTGTCCGCCGGACGTCGAAGAATTAAAACGAAAGGGCGAGGAAGCACTGCTCAGTGAAATTCGCAATTTTGTTATGCGCTATAATATCAAGCAGACGATGATCGCCGAAATGACGAAAATGTCGCAAGCTTACGTGAGCCGATTTTTCCGTGGAGACATTGCCGACATGTCGGAGCGAACGAAAAACACCTTCTACATGTGGTACCTCACGTGCAAGAACAACCCGTGGAAGCTCGGTAAGTCTCGTAAGTACACCCAACCCTTCCCACATTTTTTCCGCTTTGTATCGCTCATGCTATGCGCCGCTCTGCTCCCTGCACACGTTGGCATGATAGCTTGTCGTGTCTCCAAGTTTAAGACGTATGCTTTTATGTAGTCACATTTATAGGACTTATAGCTTTTTTACGAACAAATCGAGTCAGATATTAATAACTAATTGTCGCCGCTGACTGGTTTGCAGTGAAGACTAGGGCTAAGATCATATATATAATAGTTTATGTGCACACGTATCGCCCGCCATTAGAAAGTGGGGACAAGTTAGAAAAGAATAGCTGTTGGTGTCAAGGCTTCATGTAACTTATACTGACTAACGTATCGCAGCCCCTCATCCAGGCGTGAAGCGCATGGTCAGCGAAAATGGTGACCTGATCCCCCTGAAACGCGAGCGGTTTACCTTTAAAAGTGCCCATCTAGCGGTATTGGAACGGTACTACGAGCGTGATCCGTACCCTGATGCGCAGACTCGTGAGCAGATTGTCGAGGAGTGTAATGTTGCTGTCGAACGACCGGATCGTCCGTTAGCCGACCGTGAAAAAGTTACCCTACCAGTGGTGAACAATTGGTTTAATAATCGTAGGAAAGAGGCCAAAAAACAACTTCGACAACAACACGGTTAGTTGTTACAACTTTGCAACAAACGAAATAATTTATTGAGTTAGCTATCATGCTACTTGAAAGCCTCTTTTTGCCTTTACAGGACCCGTACATTTTTCAGTCATATGAACCGGCTTCGTCGTCACTTCCGCTTGACAACTCTGTCGATATATTTTGTTCGAATCAGTTATTCCTGCTGTCCCTACTGGAAAAGGCAATGGCGAACAAAAAACGTGTTCGATAAGTGTTTCTGCCTGAATAAATCTACGGGTACTTCTATCCAAGCCAATGCAGCAATTTTTATTTAACGATCTATCTAGAACATGTACGGTTCTGGGAATTTCGAACCGTTTAGTTTAACGTATATCTAATGTATTTTGCTTTACTTTTGAGTTAAGCAGCGTTTGCTACCATCTTAGTTGGAACTGTGTGTTCTTCTAAACGCAATTGTTGACGGAAATGGTCACTTCGTTGCTTTTTGCAGCAGCGATGGCTGCGGCAGCAGCCGCACAACAGGAATCTCCGCCACCTCCAGCTTTCGCAGCACTGCAACAGCAGCTGGGTTGGCAACTTATTCAGAGTTCGGCATTGGCAATAGCAGGAGCCGCTGGCCAATCTGGTTCGCCCCCTCCCCAAACGCAGCCCGGAATATCGCTGCCGAATCACCCTGGCCTAGCCGGCATGGCCGCGCTCGCCGCGGCGCCCCACAGTGTGTCGGCGATGGAAGACGATGATGACGACTCTCGGGGCAGCTACTCGATCCCGGAGGAGACGATGGCTATCGACTTCAGCGAAGGCGGGGCTGCGGCTAGGGAGAATCGCGAAAGTCGAGATTCTGCAAGCACCACGCCAGCAAATACCAACCTTTCTTGCAACGAACTTAGCATCAAGCAGGAAGCGTAAGTACTTCAAACGAAAGGACACGCATATATATTAGACTATTAATTTGATGCATTTTTCCTCTTTCTTGTTCGCAAATATCCGAGTTTTAGATCCTGTTAGCGAAAAATTCAGTTGTGGTACAAGACTGTTGGTGGCAGCAGTTATGTCTGGGCCACAAAATTGCCGTTTGTGCTCGAGCTCGAAATATGGGTGTATCAGATTAGATAAACAACGGTTTCGGAAAATTTGCCTAAACAATGGACGCTACAGTTCAAAGGACTTCTCAGAAATGGCTTGTTAATTTTAACACTGGCATTTTTAAGCTAAATGAGGCACTCCACGCGAATTTTTGAAGCTTGACGTAGCCTGTGCCTTAGGACTATTTCGAAAAAGGATCATTTTTATTGATGAGCTTGTATCTTTTACCTATGTAATCTTACATGAAAAAAGAATAAGCCATTGAACAGTGAAAAAATGTGATCATTAATGAAGTAAGCATTAGAAAAGTAAAGCAATAGATAAAAACGGCCGGCATTTTTACAAATACTTATAGATACCGATTTATTTTATATGCCCCTTCCGTATACTACGTTAGCTGGCTCTAATGTTTACCATAAGAAAAAACTATACCTCTACCTGATGGCCACAATTGTCTCTAGTCTTCAAAAACACTTCTTCATATGCACCGTGGTATTACCATGCATGGAAAAGCGTCATCATAGATTCCCGTAACTTGTCTCCTATTAGTTGTTTATGCCAGGGCTCAGTTTCCAAGCATTGTCACCCTTCATGCCAATCGTCCTTTATACCAGATACAGGTCGAATAAGTAATACTAACCTAAACTGGACCAATTGTCTGTGATTTCCCCCTGTCCTTCCTCCAACAGGGTGTCGTAAACGAAAGATGCATGAGCAACGGTGCAATGCTCGGCGTGGCGGTAGCAGTAAGTGACCCATCCCGAGATGACAATGCTGTCTTGGTATGCTGTTGAACTCAGTAGCAAGTACTGCTGCTGCTGCCGCTGCAGCCTGTGACTGTGAGTAAAGAATAGACCCTTGTATATAGAATTGAAAAAATCTACAAATCAAGACTATGGACCTGTAAACCGATTCGCTGCCGAAGATGTCGGAACAAAGAGGAACAAAATGATAATGGTGAATATATAGAAGATACGAAGATGCGGAAGGGATACGTGAATCCGATGAACGGACTCTGCTAGGACGATGACGAACGGAGCCAAAAAAACTCTATGTGAATGAAGACGTTTGTGGCAAAATTGACTGAACTGAGTAAGCGGAAAATGAGGAACTAAGAGGGAAAAAGGGGGCGCGAAACAAGCAAATAGAAAGGCTCAAAAGATAATGAACGACGGATCCAAGTTAGGCCATGTGTTCAGCTGGTTCAAATGATAGATAGACTTTGATAATGACAATGATGATGATGGTAATGGCGGTGATGATGAAAGAGCGCGTGGAAAAACGAGGAGCGAGCAAGTTACTGTGTAGAGAGATCAATCAATAAGATTTCACGGTATATGCTAAGAGAAACTGAAGGAAAATAGAAGCTACAGCAAGATATGATAACGAATGACTGGAATGCCATGCTCAATATTGCACGACCAATGAAGAAAGGACTTTATTGAAGAGCTGAAAGAAACTTTGCGAAGGTTCTCGATTGGTTTAGCTTCCATCCCTAGAAACGGGATGGGCTCATTGCAAAAGAGGCCAACTGAGGTGGATTTTTGTTACTATGAGTATTTGTCGAAAATGAACAACGCAGATCACCAAACTCGATAGAGACACCTTTTTGAAGAATGGTAATAGCAGAAGACTATAGAGAGTGTGCATTGAAGTCTAGCGGTTCCCACAGTTTGATGGCAATTCAAATTGAACATCTACGTCTCATAATGACAATAACAACAATAACCGGAGAAAGCATGAAACAGTACTAATATCGCTGTCTAGAGTCGAAACGTACCTCTATTTGTCAGAGTTTTGAGCACAAGTAACGATAGTTTTTTCGTCCTAAAGATGCCAGAAAAGCTATTTCTCTAAAATGGTATAACTTGATTCTGAGCAAATGGAGTACAATGAAGGTGCTCGCTAATTTTCGCAAACACGACAGACGTTGCTAATGTACGCCTCCCCCTATACGTGCAAATGGTCTGTGAACAAACCTGCGTCTTTGTGGGGTCTGCTAACGAACAACTTTTCGGCCATCTCGGCTGTTAAACCATGTAAACTTCTGACAAACCGGAAAAAGGCGTTCATCAGACGGAATATAAAATACAATGGAACAAAAAGCGCAAGAAATCAAACGTCCATAGTGACTTCTACGATTGTCTTTTTTAGATTATTTATATATATATACATATATATATATATATATACATATTCGATTTGGGTGAGAGCGAAAAACAAAGTAAGAAATGTAACTAAGCGAAAGAGAGCAAGAAACATGAATAAGAAGAGATAGAGTTTATGAAGAAGACTATTTGATAAAGAAACAAAGAAAATTGTTTGTACAATTACTTGGAACTGTAGTTGCTTCTACTGCGGTGTCGGAAGGTTAAAGGTCGCTAATTAAACGAGAAAGCGGAAATGTAAGCCATATCGAAAACCAGTCCTGAGATCATATTGTTCTAATTTGCGCGTGCAAGCCTTTTGTTTGTCAGGACGAACGTAGAGTAAAAAACGGTGGAATTTCGATAAAGAAAAAAGGCCATATGCGTCTCGCCTTCTGCCTTCTATCTTTCTCTCTCTCTCTCTCTCTCTCTCTATATATATATATATATATATATATATATATATATATATATATATATATCGTATGAGGTGACAAAGTAATAGTCCCTTACGAGGTAGATGGGGGCAAAGGAGGGAAGGAGGGAAAAAACTAAAATCCCGGAAGAGTGGCGACCATGAAGCGTGGCACGCCTAAGGAAAGCTGGAAATTGTATTAGATATGAAGAAGAAGACACTTCAGAACGAGAACAAGCACCATATTTAGGAGGAGGAAATATGGTGCTTGACGACGAATTGAGTAATGAGTCACCCTAGAGATCGATATGGCACGTAAAGGCATCGTTTAACCGACTGCATTACGATCCAATTGAAACCTTCTCATAACTAGGCTTCATAAGCGTATACCCCTCATTTTGATCGACAAATTTCGATAGTGGTTGAATATTTTTGTACAAAAAAATGATGTTCAGCACGAAGGGAAAAAAACATGAGATAAAAAGCGAGTAAAAAAGAGCTCGACATGCTAATTAAAACTTATTACTTACTAGAGACACATGAAGAATATACGAAGTTACACAACAAAAACAAATCCCTCGAATGGACCACGACTAGAGGAGCGCACGCATACATGGGTAGATCGATTGTTAGCGATTAGAGATTTCTATCGGAGAATTCCCACGGCCAATCAGCCACTTAAACGAATGATAGGATAATTCCTTGATTATCAATAGCCATTGTATTGTATATAACTTACTTAACTGGCTGCAAAACCATTTATCTATAACCGTCTTTCTTGTTTCACCGGAGTGTCGCAGAAGCTCTAAAAAACACCAAAGTCATCCATTGACATTCGACAAACTACAAAGCTGTCTTGTTTTTGTGTCGATCTTAACCACGAAACGGTATTGAGTCGCAAAAAATGACTACTAGGAAACCTGTTTCCGTAATCACAGAACGTTTCGTCATGTATACATCTTCACGTACTCAATCCTTATGCCCACATTGCACCCGTTGTATAATGATTCCCTCAACATCTTCGAGTACCCCGTTGCCGATGCGCTTCATAACAGAAAATCCACTTCCAAGAAAGAAAAGCAAGTCTTTGCGCACAAAGATAACAACCCGTACCCACTCTTGCACTCCTCATGTTCATAAGCTCTTTGTGTACCTCTTCATTGTATTTTTGGCCTTTAAAGATTTCGATTCCCCCGCCCTGAACAGCTGATAAAAGTCAAGATTGACTTCCACAGCCACAGAGAGCTTAATTTTGATCATCTTTAAATGAGTTGTTAACAGGCCTCCTTACGTACGCTTTCTCCATTAACCATGCCTTCACTAGTGGAATGGGAATAGATCTGTGAACTCTGCGTTGACGTTTTCGTTACTGAATATTATCAGAAGAAGATTGATGTCGACAAGATATAACGTCTTTTTTATTGTACTCGTTCACGTTGGGTTATTTTATCTGGTCTCTTTTAATGTTTTTGCCACTTAATGCCCTTACGTAGTAATTATGTCCTTCGCGTTAAACTAGTTATTAAGTATTTTTTTAATCAGCAATTACTCAATCGTTAATGTTGCAGTTTCATTTAACCATGTAAGTTACTTTATATCATACATCCGCGGCACTACCCTGCAATTGTTTTTGTCTTGTTCATTGTCTTTTTTTCGAATATATTCAATACATAACAATATGCTTATATGTCCACTTGTTACATGTGTTAAGTTTCATGTCGCATTTAAAACGAGAAACTCCCGACTTTTCGAACTTTGTGGCATTTTTATAGAAAACAAGCATATTATTGCCAGATGCTACTCAGCCCAGAGTACCGAGGCTTCCTGAGAACACTCGAACTATTAATTGGTGACAGTGATGAGGGGTAGTATATCCAGGGTATTACATAAACCCATCTAACCCTGTCAAGATCAGAACGAGCAGGTTCTGTCGGAACAAGTTCGAAAGGATTAGTAGAGTAAAATCCATAAACTACGACTACTACGTCAATTACCTAATACGATTATTAATCGAATTGTCCTCCTAAGAAAATGGAAGGCTGGCTAACATTAAAATCCGATAGGACTGAAAATATTCCGGTAAATTTCACTACGTGTACTTCTATGTCTTCCCATAAACTTCTATAATGTTTCGAACAATTTTTCTTGGTGTCATCAGCGTTGTACTAATTGTCTTCACTGTCAACCGTAAGATCAACAATGGAGCAATGCTTGACCGACATGCAGTCACACCCTGGCAGCCAAATCACAGCCGCGCAAAGACTCGTCCATCCAATTCCGCCCTATCTTTTCATTACTTCGAATTTACCTATATATGATTCATTGCAACAAGCATTGTGCGTATCTAGAACAATTTTTCATACGTAGACAGAACTGCGTGCTTCTTTGGTCTCATTGATGCTTTTGCATGCTTCTTCTACCTCAGTCTTGCAGCCTTCAGCTTCGCTTTTTTCCCCATTCATTCAATCTGTATGTTTGTGTATGATTTTCTCCTGTACCTATAATGTACATGACCACAACACATACTAGCATTGTATGCCGTAAAATGCAGATAATATCTCGTTGGCTGGTGCTATTGCTGCTCTTTGTCCATTGCCATCGACGGGATAGTATCATCATTGCCATATATATAC